AACTGTACCATATGGGCATAAATTAGTGTTATACCTGTTTATGAAATAAAGTGCACAATAACATCTCACTGACAGCAAGTGTGAGTATTGAACACGTGTGCGCGGATTGGTGGACTGGGGACGACAAGATCGAAATGAAGGCAGGAGGGAGGTTGGTAGTAAAAAGAAAACACTCGCGCATGTGCCTATTGCGTCCGAAAATCACTACCCACGCCTTTTCCGGTAGAAATAGTAACCAGCACCACCACCAGCAGCCAACACTACACACAGCACACCAACCACTGAACCAACAATCACACCAGTTGATGAGCCTCCCGTGTCCGGTTCTGGTTCCGGATGTGGCGGGTTAATCAGATCGTGAATTGTGGGCAATTTGGGATTGTCCGATTTGCAAATTTTTCGACACGGATCAAATTCTTTCGTGTCCAAATGCCGCATTGCACAGACAAATTCGCATCGGCATCGACTGTCCGATTTCGGACAGTTCCCGTCACCTTCGTTAACCGGATCGTGTTTTCCACCTCCCAACAGATGCTTCCAAAATGCGTCCCACCAACCGTTCTCATTATCTGTACTGGTGAACACATCCAACAAATCGGCCAAGGATTGCGGTGACAGGTCTTGTAACTTGTACTCGTCGCGGGCCACATATTCCAACTCCCATTGGGGATGCTTCTGTGTGAGGTTCAAGTAGAATTGACGATAGTCTAAAATGCGACCGGTACTGCGGGAATATTTGTATTGTCGTATGCGCGGATTGAATGAGCCCGTACCGGATATATGCCTGGGATCCATTGACGGGGACATCAACACCGTGGTGATTGGGTGATCTGGGTTCGACAACGACAAAACGCAATACGGATAAGAGAAAATGAACTAATAGTGGTGCGCAACCAAAACAAACAGTTCAATAAACTCGTTCGGCCGAAGACGATTCTGAATGCTCATCCCAGTGGCAAAATTGGATTCGATCTCAAGGCAGGAGTCGACAGTTTCGCATAAAATCATACGTTTTTGAGAACGTATATGTGTTCTAATTTGATCAGTAAACGTGAGCAGTAGAGATCCGAGGATGAGACTGATCATTGATTGTACTTTCCCTGTCCGGTGTCATGAATCAGCTAAACTACTCGAATAAGCCCCACCCATACGGGTATTGGTCTGATCATTGGCTGGTGAGCATTCTCCAGGCAAACGTAGACAGATTACACTAATCGTAAACTAGTCCCATAGACAATTCAAAAAACGGTGTTCACGAAGAATTTTCTTTCCGATATATCGCATCAGGCAATCACACATATATAAGGTCATCATAGTACAGATATCTGATTGGCCGACTAGAGCTCAGTTAGTAACGACGACAGGGGCGATCAAACAGAGCAAACGAATATTACAAGGCTAATGCTAGTCGTGAGTGAGTGAGGGGGGGGGTAGAACACAAAGGTCAAATGGACAATGTTCCAGAGATGAGCGGATTAAAATGGAGGTTGTCAGCTAAGATTTCTTTTTATGAATTTCTCACTGAATTCTGTTTGGAGGATAGTGCGAAATGGCTTCCTTAAATCCAGTTGCCATGTTTAGTCGAGTGCACGTCTCTATAGTTCCCGTACAATCAAGTGCAACCAGCTGAAAAACCGAGTGACCGCATGAATATGGTTGATTTGCATGCACCTACAATGTGAATTTCTACGGACATTTTGATATTCTCTGTTACAGGAGAACCGTTTCCCATGCGAAACTCACCGCAAACTTATGCGCCGAAGACGACTACTATTACTACTGTCCGATACCACTTATTCCGTAAATCAGTTCTACTTACCTACAGCGGTTAACAATCAAAGCGTCCGTTGCCTTAGACCCAAATACAACTTTCACCGTGAATAGTGATATCTGTTGTGATTTCTTGACGTGATTACGTATCACTGGTAATGAGCTTGTTCATCAGTTTATGTTTTATTTCAAATGGGCTCCGACTGGAGAGACGGCCGATGTTCAGTCGAGCAAAAACTGTTTATTCATGATTCCTCCAAAAGATTCGAAATACATTTGGTCTGTTAAAAACAAATCTACAAGGTCAGGAGAATATCCGTGCTATTTGACCATGGGCTCTACAGTTACACTTCAGGAACCTTGTAGAAGCTCAACAACTAGCCCAAAACTAACTGGCCAAATGGAGTGATTTATAAATATATAAGTTCAGTAACAAAGCACAACCTTAAGTTGTTCCCATGAAAGCAATTTTTTTATTCACCCTGGTGGTAACTGGCAAAGATTTGGGAAAAAACCAACACAGGTCGTGCATCGAACAACTCACATGATTTATCCAATATCACTCGGAAAGTATCAGTGTGTCCGTAGCCCGACAGAACGGCTGTGATCACGTCGGAATAGTCCCGAATGTATTCAATAATACGGTCATTGTATTGGTCCAAATATAAAGGACGTGCATTCGGATTTGTTTCCTGCGCCCCGGGAGGAATATGAGTGATCAATAGAACCTGTAAAATGCCGAATAAACAGCGGAGAAAAATAAGGCTTCGCAAAGAAAATCCTCTACTCGGATATGCAGAAACGAGTGAGCTTACCGAGAAGAACATGTAGGCGTCCAGTCGGGTGTTCGTACCACATACTTTCTGAACTTTGCGATATTCAGACTAACACGGTCCTGGCCAAACTGGCTAAAGCTATATAGCTATATGAGTTTCTGCTCATCTGAACGAGACCTCAAACACCACCCAGGTTGACTGAATAGTGAGCAGGCCGTGTATCCATGGCCTAACTTTTCCACGGCCTAGTTGTATCAAAAGTGAAAATGTGTATCGTGTATACAATCGGTTTCATCTTCCCTAAGTCAGGAGGGTTTCAGGGCTTGGTTCGATTTTCGGTGTGCGCGGTGGCGGTGGTGGCCCGGTGGTAACATCACCAAATTACCACCTCGGGGATGCGTGTTCGAATCCCTCCACCACCACCGCCTGACTTCCCCTATTGTGTGTTGAATGGTAGTCCTTTGGTTTGCCGCTTCCTCCTTCCTCAAAATTGTATCTTTGTAAAATCAATAAAAGGAAGTAAAGTAAAAAGGAAATAAAAGGAAAAGAAAGAATTCAGGATTCATGAGGCGGATGAAAATCTTCCCTGCTGTCGTTAACGTACATAACTGTATTGTTCTCAAGCGTTGCGGTGGGACTCGATAAAAATGATGGTAAATGCTGAGGGCATGTCAACCACGTGTCCCATTTCTATTAAGTGAACAACAATTGAATTTGGCTCCACTCCAACCTCATTGAACCCGTCTGAGTTTCGGCTCATATTTTTTTCGAATATCACAAAATGTGGGATAAGAACAGTCCCGAATGTGCTATAGGTAGATTTGTCAACCGCTGCTCAGGGCTATGAAGTACAACAAGGCCCCGAGTTCATTCACTTGGAGACCAACCTTAGGCTAGTAATCAGTCTATAGTTTTCCGATCCCAAAAGAACAGTCATGCCTTTTATGGGAAATGCTTTCGATAGGGTTTTTTGCGCACGCACACACAGGAATCGATTGACCGAACAAAGTAAGATACCAAATGTTGCCTGCGGTGCCGTGTTTGAGGACGATCACACAACTTCTTTGTTTGATGAACTATTCTGGTTCATCCAGACTCTGTGTGTGTAAGAATCGGTTGAGGGTGCACAATCTGCGTGGGCTGATGGGACTTCCAAATACTACACATGGTGAGGGCAAAAGCATGACACAGACCAGCCAGCAAACATTTCGGAGCGCAAACCTAAGTCGACATCCCATGAGTTCTGTTGGGTTTCCAGCGTGAGTAGAGGAATGACGCGGATGTTCGGGTTTCATCATCTTTTGGTCTATGTATATCAAGTCTCTCGAAATTCGCTAACACTGAGAGAAGTGTAATTTTCTTGACTATATGGTGGCATTCTTCTTAGGCGTTCCAGAACCATATCAGCTTGTTGCATTCATATATTTCGAAAGTAAGCTGATAACAGAAATGGCAGCAGCATTGCTTCGATAAGTAGACGCACTTACCTTAGATCTACGGACGACAACCTGAAGTGGTTATTCGAACCACTTAGTTCGTCTTGTACAGTCATATCAAGGTCCTCCTAATTAGAGACATGTGGTGGGACCTGATTTTGACAAAGTCGATTCCATGTGGGACACGTAAACTGAACTGATTCGTTGGGGCATAGTTCGCTATGATGGAAAAGTACCGATTGATGTATAGTCAAGATGCTGCATAGCTGGTTAAAGGGTGGAAAGGATGACCTAAATGGGATAGCAGAATTCACGTTCCCATTGACTCTATGGCGATTTCCATTCAATTGGGGGAAAATATGTGCCATTTACTGAACTGGATCTCATTTCACAGTAGAGTATGAAACAATGGAGTTTGGTAGACTGCATATCGGAAAGACGGTCCCACCAAAAAACGGATAAACATCTTCTCATCCCCAAAACAGGAATACCACGATAAAAGTTTTCTTCAGTGTCTACTTAGTGGGTGATCACGCATATCAAAGCCGCCCCCCCCCACACACATACGTGCTCATATGGGTGTGTAGGGAAGTCACTAAACGTGGTACACGTAAAAAATGGATTTTAGTATGATATGCTCGAACAATGAGGCACGAAATAAAAAAATGAACAGCTGCTTCTTACGACATAGTTTCAGCTCAGGTATCTGGTGGATTCACTGGAATCAAAGTATTTCACACACACACACATGCACACCGCAATCATTGGATTGTATACAGGAGTGAATTACAAACCTTAGCCTTGTTCTCGCGTGCCCATTTCAAGCTTTTTTCCATCCATAAGAACTGATTCAACGGATCCGTATAACTTGAATTGATTTGCTCATTGTTTCGATACCAGGCCAAACTGTTAACACCGAGTAGCAAAATTTTCGGATTCTTGCCGATCAACATCGAATGATAACAACCTGATCGGGGGTTCAATAGACAAGAGAGAGAGAGTTCTCCGCGTTCGGTCAGCGGAGGTTGTTTGGTTGGTAAGGTAAACAAAATGGAATTGAAAATATGTCTAACAACGAAAACAATAACATATATTTATGAACATCACACTCACAGCCCTCACTGGAAAAATGTGTCATAATCTATTCTGAGCGATAACATGACAGTAAAAGGCATTCGGTGAACTCGTGATTGTCTCGGTGCCTTTTCGAATCATCCTCCTTATCTCATTCCTGTGAGTGTTCTGCTCTCCAAATAAATCGAATGGCTGCGAGATTGATTTATTGCTCCTATGACTAGCCTCACCAACTTGCTCATTTGAGGATTTCCCGAAGATAGTAGATTGATCTAGAGCATTACCCCTATTCGCTTAGTTTGTAAAGTCAGATAGATAAATGTTCATCACCACCAAGGGAAGAATATGAATATAGCCAAACACATCAAAAATAAATGTCTTTTCATGGCGTTCATGGGTACGTGCCAAACACGAGTTTTGTTCTCAAAATTTGGGCGTCTTTTTCATGTATGGATCATGAAATCCTTCCTTTTTCCATCACAGCAACAATAGCAACAACCGCCAACTAGAACAAAAACAATGCTAGTAAAAAACTACAACAACACTGTACCACCACTATCCTCTACCATTGCTTGGTTTGAAATTGCTTTGCTAAAAGATAGTCACCTGGTGAATATGGATGTGTGCATGTACATTAAGTCTGAGTTAATCGATTTCTTCTGCTGCTTCCTCTAAATGTTGTACAATGAAAAAAGAATCTGCTTTCCCCGAGTTTCATCGACTCACCCCCTGTTTATTACTCTACCCGTACAGTAATAAACCTCATCCTGAAGATGTTATACCTAAATCGATTAGTACACTGATGATCTGTGGTCACACTCCAAAACCACCTTTACCGGGCAAACGTGCTGAAGAGTCAGCAGAAAACCCTCAACCTTATACGCCACTAATGATCTACATATTTGTGGAACTTCGTAGATAGGGCCAGGGCCTAAATGATGATGATGATGATGACAATATATATATATATTCCTTTATCTGTATTAACTTAGCTAACATCTTATAATCAACGAGGATAATTGCAGACATCATTTGTGGCAAATCAGGATGACATTACTCACCTTCCTCGAATCTGATCAAAGGTAGTTTCTGTACAACGGACACGGTGTCAAGCGCCATATCTATCCACTGCTTCCAGAGTCGTTCGTCCATAGCCAGCTTTTTGCACCAGAGTATTCTGTCCCAATCTTCAGGGCCCACCGGAAGAGTGGCGGCAGGGAATATGTCGTATTTGCCCATTACCGGGAACAGTGGTATATCCTCAATGTTGAAAGCTTGTTTCAAGTGATGCACAATGAACTCCATACTTTTCAGAAGGTCCTCCTCGTCTGTTTTTTCTTTGAGTGGTCCGCTCCCGCTACAAATCAGATAAATGTGTTTTTGACGGAGAAAAAAATAGATGTCAGGAGATCAGTTGAGTACAGAAAATGACGTTAGTGGGATCAAAGTAAACTCACACAAAATTGATTGATATTCATTCCCGTTGTGGATCCAGATTTGATCCGTTGAAAATGACATTGGTACTGATTCCGCACTAGCTTCAATAACTCATCTTGTTACATGGCCTCCTCGCTCCATTTGTGATTAGCAATCAGAGTATTCCCGAAACTGAGTGTGAGTTTGGTAATTACGTTGCTCGTAGAGGAACAGAGAAACTGGCCGTTCCCAAAACCCATGACAATATCATGAAATATGTTGAATTCGCAAAATGCGCGCGTCAAATTTCAACTCCGTCATTCACACAAATATACAAGTCATCCATTCTAAGCCCTTTCCCCAGTCAATGTTGCGATAGTTAACATTTGATTTTGAAGGAGGTTCTGACATTCAAATGCTGACTTTATTTTTTTGATTTGAATATTTTTATATCGGTATAAATTTTTATACAATACCTATCCATATAACTACTCAGTATGCACTATGTGGGTGCAAAATACCTGGATTGACTTGAATTGTTTGTCCTTCATCGTCAACAGTGAAAGCAAATTGTCCCGTGCACCACACTTATACTGTTCCTCGACATGATTGAAAGACGGATTTTCTAACCCCATTTTGTTATCCGTATTGTTCGAACGAATCAATTCGTTCTAGTTCTGTATCAGTGCATCCGAAAGCACTACAATGAATTATACAATTCCAGAAGTGAAATCGCAAGTGCCACATTGATCAGGGTATGTGTGCAATGCATATATCCTCATTGCAGGTTGAGTACAGTTAGCTTGTGTCTTTTTTCGACAAAATGGAAACAATGATCCCCGTTTTAGGCCTGGACTCTCTTGACTGCATCACTGGCAAACTAAGATCAATAGTTCTTGTCCAGCATCTATGCTAATCATTCTTCACAGTTCTTGAATTCCTTTCTTCGATTTCTGCTAGATTACAACGACGCAGGCTCCTCATGCCAGTTGTAATATCGGTAAGGTAAGTAATATCTAAATAATAATGATCACGTTTGAAATGGTGCATTTTTGTGATGAAAAATCAAAATATCTCGGTCCGCCAAAGGGTTTGTGAACGCAAAGTGAAGTTTAAAAATTTTCGGTATTCTACGATTCCGGTAAATCCTATCCACTTTGCGATATCCTAACTTCCGGTTTTTGCTGATTGACGCCTTCCTTGCGATTGACCTGGAGTTCAAAGGCTATAAAGGACGGTAAATATGTACTAATGAGAGCGAAACTCGAGCCNGTTTCAGTAAACTGATGAACGGAGAACTGTACGTACAGGGTAAAGTTCCGAGGGTGTTTAGTTTAAATCAAAAGCAGTTATCTCACATCATTACTCACAAGTAACTGTGAATTAAATACAAACAAAAGAAACTTATCAACTTGTCTTTGGGGTATTTTTCACCTCCTTCTTATGATTCCATTGTCTATTGCCAATG